TCAAATCTTTAGGAGAAGATGTGAAATTTTCACCTTTGTGAGTTTTTTTTTTCTTGTCTGGTGTAAATGAGATGTGCTTATAAAAAAATCATTTGCTCTGTAGGAAAATTTTATGATATTTAAGGAAAAAAGAAAATGTTGCTTTACGGTGAGATGTTAGTTTACCAGAATGGCCCTAGAAAATCGCCTTTTTCGGAGGGTAAAAAGGGAATTAAAGAGCGAAGAGAGTAGACAATGGTAGCAGAAGGAAACCTCAAAAACTAGAGCTTGGCGGGAGAAAGAGAGTGAAGAGAGCGAAATTGTGAAGCGATTTTGGTTACACGGCGGCGAAAATGACTGAGATAACGTCAGCGATGGACATCGACGTGGGCGAGAATCAGCCTCGCAAGCCGATTAACAAGGGCAAAGACGTCGCCGGTTTAGGAGCTCCGCCGCAGAGTAAGGCGACGCCTTGGGTCGAGAAGTACCGACCTGAATCGCTCGATGACGTCGCAGCACATCGTGACATTATTGATACGAGTAATTTCACTTACAAACTCTCTCTTTCTCTTTCTCTCAGTCTCAATTTCCCTCCCTAGGGTTTCTTTTCCTAAATCAGGGATTTAGTTTAGTATTTACAGTTTTCTGTTGACAAATTTCTGGAAAAACCTCGAAATTTTGTGGCTTGATTGTTGGGTATTTATCTGATTACGAAAGTATCTGAAAGAGAATTGATTTGGCTCTGATTATGCTAGTTAGAAAGCCACAAAGAAAATTGATTTGGCTCTTGATTTAGTGTTGTTATAGTGAGAAAGCTAAGGCTTTGTGTTAGTTAATTGAAAGTGATGATTTTTTTTGTAATTCTCTTTCAGTTACCTTTTTGCTCACTGGAGGTTTTGTTGTTGTTTTTGTGATTTCGTAAACAGTTGATAGGTTGACCAATGAGAACAAATTGCCCCATCTTCTGTTGTATGGTCCTCCCGGTACAGGCAAAACATCGACCATTCTAGCCGTTGCTCGGAAACTGTATGGACCTAAGTTCCGTAATATGATTCTTGAACTGAACGCGTCTGACGATAGAGGAATTGATGTTGTAAGGCAGCAGATTCAGGATTTTGCTAGCACGCAGAGTTTCTCATTGTTAGTTCCCTATCATGATTACATATTTGCGCTATGTTTAGCTGTAGCATCATACTTAGTAGGATAAGATATTCTTTCGTGTTGCAAGTTTGTTGAGGATAATAGAAAAATTTGAATTCATGATTACAGAGGAAAATCTTCGGTAAAGTTGGTTCTGCTAGATGAAGCAGATGCCATGACAAAAGATGCTCAGTTTGCCCTGCGTAGAGGTAAAACCTTATATTCTTTGTAGCTGTCTCTTTTTGTTTGGGGGTTTAATTTCGGCACTAAACATGTTTAGCATGCTTCTTTTCTTAAATTTGGCTAGTGATTGAGAAATACACAAAGAGTACTAGGTTTGCGCTCATCGGAAACCATGTCAATAAGATCATCCCAGCTTTACAGTCCAGATGTACCCGATTTAGATTCGCGCCTCTTGATCCTGTTCATGTGAGTCAACGTCTTAAACATGTCATAGAAGCTGAAGGGTGAGAATAAAAGTCATTTCAATCTTATAAACTTTTTGTTGTGTTTTTCTCCACCCTTTCCCTTTGGTAAGTATTTTTGTTTCGTGCTTCTTTTTCATAAATGGACTAGGCTTGATGTAAGTGAGAATGGTTTAGCGGCTCTTGTACGGCTGAGCAATGGAGACATGAGAAAAGCATTGAACATTTTGCAGGTTCAGTAAATATTTCCTTTTGCTTCTGTCTCCTAATTTACAATAGTAAATCTACACAAGATAACAAACTTGTTAATGCGTGTGGGGCAGTCAACGCATATGGCGTCAAAGAAAATTACAGAGGAAGAGGTTTACCTCTGCACTGGAAACCCACTACCCATGGACATTGAGCAGATATCTCACTGGCTTCTGAATAAACCATTTGCTGAGAGCTACAAAGGTATTGAACCATAACTTATATCGTATTTTCCTTACTAAGCTATTGATTCCATTTGTTCTGGCTCTTGATTGCTGTTTTACTCTCTGCAGATATATCAGAAATGAAGACAAGAAAAGGACTTGCCATTGTTGATATAGTCAGAGAGGTTACCATGTGAGTGACATGTACTTGGTTGCTGCTTCTACCGCTGTGTTAACCATACGTCTGTGAACTAACTTTTGTTTCTCCATCAGGTTTGTTTTTAAGATCGAGATGCCTTCACGTGTCAGAGTTCAACTGATAAACGATCTGGCAGACATTGAGTTAGTACATTTTGTTTTTAAACTAGAGTGGATTGATCAATTTTGAATGCCTCGAGTAGAGTGTATCAGCTTTTTTGTTTTAACTTTGAGTCGGTTTATGGTTTATAGGTACAGACTGACTTTTGGATGCAACGACAAACTGCAGCTTGGCGCCATCATCTCTACTTTCACACACGCCCGGTCTGCCTTGGTTGCTGCAGCAAAGTAAAACCGTGTCTTTTTAACCATTTTGGTAGCTTATATGATCTGGTTTTCAACTCAATTGCTAGAATGTGTCACCTCAGTGATAATCTCTGCATACATTTTATGTTTCAATTCTTGTCTTCAACTATCTGATTCGTACCAACTCGAGTCTGGCAATTGATCGGTTCCCAGCTGCATTTCCAAAGTAGTTTTCTCTTAAGTCATATCTGAGAAGACAAAAACTAAAAAGGTCTTCTTCAATCTGCATTTCTCAAAGTTTAACCAAATCGGTACGTGATGCTGGCTTAAGTTCGTTCAGTCTGGTGCTAGACCGGTTAAGCAATTTGAGATTGCCAACCAAACCGAATTACAATAGATCAGCGCCTAATTGACCTAAACTAGAGTCTTCTGTCTCAAGCAATCCATCACTTTAGGCCAAAACAGTCTTTAGTCATCTTTCCAATTACATTTTAATTTTACTCTGTTGTTACCATTGCTGTTTCAGTGCTTTAGATGATATTTTTGGTGTTGTGCCTTTAAACATTGTTGTGTGTTTGAACCAGTAATATAGTTTATAAAAACAAAAAATCAAGGGTAAGTACTGAATCATGTGATAAAAGTAGAAAATATACAAACAAAAAATTGTTTTCAGAATTTAGAAACCGTGTTAGTAAGCATTTTTACATAGAGGCGTTGATGTAACTTGGGGATACAATACGTAACTGTAGTGAAATAATTGTACCTTTTTGCTGCCAATCGTTTCGTCTTCTAGTTTTAATCATTGTCTCATCTTCTCGAATTCTCTCAGCTTATCCAATATTGCTCCCTTCAACCTCATAACCTTCGGGTCCTCTACAGACAAATAAGAGTATGAACTGAAAGGTACAAAAATTGAAATGGGAAGATTAAAAAGGGAACAATGATAAACCTCGATCAGCTCTTGAAGATATTTTTGTGACACATATAAATCTAAATTCGATATAGAGTGGAGAATCTACAAAACTCAGCAAACCTCCTTACACCATCGCTTCTTCTTTACCATTGATATATCGAAGAGCTCGTGAAGGTACGTGTTGTACCATGTTGGTGACTTTTTGATAAACTGAGTTTGCGAGTTATATCGGTGGCTCTTTAACTTGTCGACATCAGAGATCGTGGAAGAAAGAGAAGGATCGTGAGTCGTGGGTGATTGAAAACAACGGTCGATCGGTTTTCAAGCGAGAAA